TCTTCAGGCGGTACAATCTCATCGGCATAATCGACGGATCTAAAGTGGCTCCACCATGAAATTTTGCCGAACATGATTGGACTTCTCGGCAGTGGGTTCAACGATGGAACGATAAACTGAGTCGAGGAGGGTGAGCTCTCTCTATTATGTCAGCTGGGTCTAGAGAGAGAATTGAGACGATTAATGAAGGAGAATTTGAAGAAAAAGAGTCGACCTTTGGTCTGATTTTGCTCTCTCATGATGGTGATTATCATTGTGTCTGTGTGTGTAAGGATTAAAGAAGAAGAAAAATCGGCCACCAAATTTCTTGTTTTCATGCTGGGTTTGAAGAAATCAAAGTTGAATTCAAACGGGTCGTAAAAACCAGAGCAAATTGAGGGGTTGAGGCTAGGGTAGCAATCAAAGTGAAAAGGGGGTTTGAGCTGCGGGGATCAGCGGCATGCAGAGAGGGTTGCGTGGTGTGAGGGGAGAGAGAGAGAGAGAGAGAGAGAGAGAGAGAGAGAGAGAGAGAGAGAGAGAGAGAGAGAGAGAGAGAGAGAGAGAGAGAGAGAGAGAGAGAGAGAGACGAGAGAGAGAGAGAGAGAGAGAGAGTTTTTTTTTAATTAATATTTAATTAATTTCTCTTGGATAAGGGAGTGGCTCTGCACCTGCTACATCATTATTTAATGATCAAATTGATGAATTTTTTTTATAGAAATCTTACATTACAACGAATTCGTAAATTGATGTATGACATTATATTGCTTGAAAGATGAGGTATGAGTTTGTTATATGATTCAAAGTTGATGTGGTAAAACGTAAATTATCCAATAAATAAGGAAAACACTAAGGTGACTATTTTTCAAACCATATATTTGTAAATCACGTGATATGGCAGTTGATAGTTGAATTTTTTATTTTTATTGATTTAAATCATCAATTGCCACATATGTAGTCTACAAAATAAGATCTAAAAAGATGGTCACCTCATTTTACCTCCCACTTTTTTTAAAATTTTTAATGTCTGTGTGTGTTAACGCATGGTCCTTTTTCGACCCTCAACACAATATAAGCAGGGGAAAAGACCACGAAGGCCTATTAAAAATCAAGGCCCAAAGAAGAATAGGAAGTTTAAGGCCTAGTGGAATCAAAATGAAGCACGTTCGAGCGCTAAAGCGGACCACTCACCAGCCAGGTCTGATCTGAGCAACACAAATTACTTTCCGACCACCAAAGACATGTGGGAAGACTGACAACCTTATGGCACGAGGCTATACAAGCATGCCTACTCAAACACCAATCAGGTTACATGTCAACCCCCAATCAAAAGCAGAAGCCTAGGACGAGACATAAAGGTGGCCGAACCCTTGTTGGGGACTCGGGAGTGACTTTGTTGACTAATTAAGGCCGAGAAGGTTGCTTGACAAACATTGATCTAAAAACACGTGCAATTCTGACTAAGCAAACCTCACTTCAAAGCCAAATATCGACTGATGGTTAAAAACATTGTCAGCACATTGGTCGATGCAAGCGATGCATTAAATGCTAAAAAAGTAAGATTAGACGAGCCCAAAGCTTTCAAGGTTCATGAAGGGTCTATATAAAGGGGTGAGAACCTCTTGTAAGAGGATCAAACAACTGAAGGAGATAGAATTCTAGTCTATAGCTAAGCGCTATTTGTAATCTTTGAAATTGATATAACCCAAGAAATACAGTTAATGTAGCCCATTTTTTAAGATAAACCACTTAAATCCTGAGTCCATTCATTTTAGTTTCAATTCCAAACCCAAGGGCTAATTATTTCAATTTATTAACCTGTAAATTTTGAGCATTAACAGTGTGCTCTTCTTCAGGACCTACTTAGGCGTTAGTCGAACTGATTACACCCCTATATATAATTTTCAATTACTTAAATGAATAATAAACAAAAGATTCGGAAGTAATAAGGTAATGAAAATCACAAACGGGCAAATCACACATGGGAGAACCGATCCAACAATAATTTTTTATATCAAACGTGCAATTCATGGAATCAAATATAAGATCTACCATAAGATAACATTAGATTGTACATAGTGCCAATGGTAAATTTTTTATATATCCTTTTTTTTTTTAGTAGATCGATATTTTTACACTAAAGAGATGAGGAGTTCGGCACAGTCACACAATGGGCAGCCTAATTTGGTATCAAATTCATCATCTACGAGATTAGTACCTAAAACATCTCACTTACTTCTAAATAAAGAAAAATACTACTACTAGAATGTAGTAATAAAAAAAATATTAAGGGAGAGGATAATTGAATTTCAGACTTCAGTATAAAAATATATGCGGTTAATCAGTTGAGCTGCGACCTTTGCAACCGTTCATGGCTTAGCACAAACTCTCTACCATAATATCACTTTACTCTTTTCCCCATATTAAAACACTGTAATGATTTTTAGGCCATCTTTACCGTTGGTATAAGTTTTAATCTAATGGATGGGCCATAATTGATGGAGAGTAATATATGGTTTTATTAAATCGTCGTTACAATTATGGATAGTAAGTTAAGGAATAATTTCATAGAGTAACATTAGTTTTAGATGCAAGAGTCACGTTTAACTGTCCAGTTGTATGATTAATTCCAAACCTCATGATTAACCGCCCCAGTCCCACCACAGCATCTTGTTCTACAGTAAGTTTGTTTTGTTAAAATGAGGTCCATTATGTAGTGTGTCGCCATCGTAGCAGCTTAGAGCCATAACGTTTCCAACAATTTTTATATGCTTATTGTATAATTTTCTCTATACTAGTCGTCTAGCTAACGAATATTATAAGCTCCACAATTCTCTTTGCTTTTATAATTATTTTGTTCGTGTCGGTGCTACTAGTATCACGTTTATTTTTCTCCACTTAGACCATCTCTAATCATTGTGCCAAAATAAGTCCTGGAGATAAAATATATCTCTGGGCTAAATTCCCCCCAAGATTTAAACCAGTTAAATTATTCTTGACCTACCAAACAGTCATATTCAAACAATTTTTTGTTTTTTACTTATAATTTAACGGCTATGACTAAATAAGATCAAATCTAATAGTAAAAAAGAGATTTGAGGGCTCAAAATTAAATCTATCGTTTAAGAAAATTATTTAAATCAAATTTAACTTAGGACTTTATAAATACCTAGTATTTGTATGATTTTTAATTACTTATCAGAGAAAAGCAGTTTATGGGTTATGACTTAAAATTTTATGGCTTAAATTTTTAAGCTTTATCCCAAGGGTTGGAGATTGTCTTATAAATAGGAAGTCTTAATTAAGTTCAATTTGTGGATGGCGAGTTCAATACAATATTATTATAATTATCTAATTTCTAAGGTCTGACATCCTAATCACGTGTCAATGCGGACCACAAACACAAAAAACACCAAATATCGCACCCCGCCTGATTTTGAGGCCCACCACTTCTTCCACCTAGCCCCACTCTCTCTCACACACCACCCCATCGGAGTATTTGATCTTTGAACTTGTTATAATGTAGAACAATAGTCTTTTTGGCCAACTCTATTAGAACTTTCATCCAAAATAAAGAGTAAACAGACAAAAATTGGATAGAAGTTCAAATGTACAAATAATGTGGAGCAATGATTTTTGTGACTGTTGTGAAAAAACTGCGCGTATCAAAGCGAGGGACATCGTTGGTGAGTGGGAAGAGTGGCGGAAACAAAATCCGGGCTGTCTATTTTGGCTTCATCTTTTTCTCCCTGGCAAATGGCAGCCCAGGTTTTGGTGAACATGAGCATAGGATAACCCATCCGCCAACTTGTGAGAACTGCATAGACCAATGGCAAAGCCTCCACAGTCATATATATTGAGCTGGAAGCCTGGGGAAAATTCATAACTTTCATGACCACGTATATCAAATGGGACGACTTTATAAAGTTCACCAGGCTTTGGATTTTGGAGAAAATCACAAAGTCGTCAGTTGGTTACTAGAGCTTCGAAGGTAGGGTATACCCTCGCCATTGCAGTCTGTCGAACGTGGATAATCTATATTAGGTGACGAATAGTACATGTAACCGTTAGACTTGATACATGAGATAACTTACTTTGATACCATGAGGAAGTTGAGATTGCACTATAAAACTAATTGTCAAGTAGTCTAATTTACTTATAAGCTCATACAAGATCTATTATTTCATCCATGTGAGATTTATCCATAAAAATGTCTAAATTGGTGCAGTAAATATGTTGTTTAATCAGGAAAAAAATTTGAAGGAATATTATATATATATATATGAGGATCTTCTATGAATTCTGCTACGGTACTACCATACATATCAAAATTTATTTTAACAATTACATATAGAAATTATACAAAAATATCATAAATTCGCAAAAGCATATGGGTGCAGCCATATCTCGATAAATATTTTCAACAGTATAACTATGAATCTTCTATAAACGTGGTCAAATGTCAATGGAGAGAATACACCAAGTATGTTTTGATTAATTTCCTCGCTAAATTCTTTACACCATTTTTCAGTATTAACAGAAAACGCATTTTCATTGAAGAGCTTGTCTTAACTAAATTTCAGCTAGAAAAAAAGAAAAAAGAAAAAAAAATCCAATAGGAGATGAACTTGCTAAATTGCATGTGTAAGAAGACCTATATTGAGAGTTTGACAACACAATTTAGAATTTAGAATTACATGGTTGCATTCCTAATTATACAGAGGCTTCCACTCTCCCACTCTTGCTGGGCTAGCAAGTGTTAAGTTGGGGACAAAATGAAGAAGAGTTTGACAAAACAATTTACAACTTATAATTACATGGTTATGTTTCTAATTACATTGAGACCTTTTAAGATCAAACCTCACTCCTGTTGGGCTAGCAAATGGTTAAGTTAGAAACAGTATCAATATTGAACTATTGAACAGTATATCAGTGTTGGCTCTTCTTTTGAAACTCGACAGTATGACCCATAAGAGTATGATTGTGAAACCAGAGATGGAACCTCACCATTAGGTTTTACAATATCATCCAAATTTATTTTGATTTAAATTCATAGTCCATCCACATAATTCCATTCATTTTCCGACAATAACTCCAAACTATGAACATAGCCTTAGAAAGTTGTGGGAAAGTATTCTTAAAAACAAACAACACTTCTGGAAATTTTTAAAGAGCAGACTTGAGTGCTAAGTTATCATGTTGTAATAATACACTTGGATTCATTAATGCAAAAGCAAGAAGCTCCTGATTCCTTTCAAAAGCAGCCATGTCTTCCTCACTCAAAGTCACCCAAGCCTCTATGCCATCATCCTTTCTTGTGCTCACCAAATAGGCAACATTAGTGCTTGAAGCAGCAGGGACATTACTCAGCCAGATTGGCTTTCCCCACCCAAAATTTACCTCGTACAGTAACTTATAATTACCCAAATCTGTTCCCACATAGAAATTTATAGTATCATCTCTTTTGACAAAGTTATTATGTACCTCTGTGACAGACTCGCGAATCGCCTGATCCTTTCCAGGTCCTTTAGCGTAATTGTTGCTCAATTCTTCGATTCCTTTCCTTAGCTGAGCTACCAAGCCTTGCAGCTCCAACTCATTCTCGTCTGTCTGTGCCGCATAGTATCCCATGAGGTTTCCTATGGAGTCATCTGACAGGGGGGGCACGACACTTTTGCGAATATCCACGGATTGAGACAACACAGATAGCTTAGGAGGCGGCTGCAGCGAGTTTGATGATCTTGACGCAGCAACCGCACATCTCCAAATGAGGGCCGTGACAGCTTCGGCCTGCGTAGGTTGATCCACGATCGTACTGGCTGCTTTAGTCCTAAGAGCAGAAATCTTCGATGCATTGAACACAAACCTCTTTGCGACACAATTCTCTCTCTTTGCATCTACTGGTGAGGACTGGTGGAATGATGAGGAATAATCGATTGGTGGAAATCGAAATGATGCAGTGAAATCTGGAAGGAGAGCTTGACTGAATCCAAGAGCAGTTGCTGACCAGGACATAATGAATGTGCTCAATGAGGCTGCATCAGCCAACTTATGTGACATACGCATACCAATTGCCAATCCACCGCAACCGAAAACGTTGGCCTGAACTAGAAGCAGAGCTCCCTTGCTAGCTTCAGGGGACTCGGTCGCTACTGGAAGGAGCTGTCTCAATGTCCCAGCATCAGGTTGTGATAGGAACGTAGAGAGCAGACCATTGACTTTAGCTTCAACATAGTCAACTCCATAATCATTGCAATCAACGGAGATGTTATCTTTCATTCTTCCGGCAAGCGGGTAGAAGCGAACTAGGGTTTCGGACAGCGATTTCTTGAGGATCCGGAGGGAGCTTTGGGGGGTTGTACTGTCATTTCTGGGGTAAAAGAGGACCAAGGATTCATAAGCAGCAGGACTAAGTTGATTCAAAAGGGAAAGCTTGAAGTTTCTAAGATATTGAGGGGTTGGAGAGGATGGTTTTAGGGTTTCTCTCTTGATCATCTCAAACTCCATGATCTCCGTGGAGTATTTGTGGATCAGAATTCACAAGAATCACAACAAACTAGACTTTGGAATTGGGTGGAAATGACATGCATTTTTCTCAGACATAAATAATTGTTAAATAGGAGAATTACTCGTCAATTTTACCACGAAATGAAAAGAAAACTAAAAAGTAGGTGGCACGAAGAGCTGTTAAAATAGACTCCGGTGAGGCAACTGGGTTCAAAGAATTCAACTGGGGGCCGTTGGCCCAGAGGTGGCGCAGAAAGTCAAAAACTCATTCTAGAGGGGGCAAAGGTAGGTGTGTCTATAAAAAGGGTTTTCTTATTAATACCCACATTTTATTGACTACGTCTCATAAAAAATTTAATAATAAATAACTCATGTATCTTAATATAAATTGACTATTTAAGCCCTAAATAGTACATTACGTAAGTTCTTTTAACAGCAAAACCTAATAATAATTCAAGAACATGTTGAGATCGATTTTTCTTGTTTTTGAGTTGCAGTCTAAGAGTTCAAATTTGAAAACATTTTCTGCAAATTATGATATCACTTTTTTAAAGATAATTTTCTTAAGCTGGGGGTGTAATCGCAATCGCTACAAGAAACCCATGAGATTTTTCGTAAGGGAAATATATTGATGTCGATTTAATTATGAATCAGAAACTGATTCCATTTGGCAGTTAAGAATGTCTGGAAAAGAGAGTATCATTTCTCATTTTTTCGGTTGAAAGGAGAGACTTCAAGAAGAGAAAAGCTAGCTGAAGTTTGAAATCCCAGAGCAAAATAGGATAAAAATGTAAGAGGTTAAGTTAGAGACTGGAGCAAGAACCAAACAAAAACAACTAAATTATATAGATAGCAATACACTAGAAGCTAGGCACATTTTATTTCCTGGAATTCGACAAACAGAAGCAAGTCTTTCCAACACTGGATAAATCTCCCAACAAGGCAGCAACAACCTTTATTATTTCCTTGTGGGGTGTAAGGGTAGTGTAGGAAATTACGTGGATGGATTAAGATCATTTTTAATTTAAAAAGTAAATGTAGAGCGTTTTCAGTACGTGAGGTGTGGTCAACAAAATTTAGAGTGTTAATAAAAACAACTCTTATAAAAATAGGAGTAATAATAGGAAAACCAAAATTTTAAATTAAATTTTGCAAACTAAATTAAGTAATCGTTGATAATTAAATTATTACTCAGGTGTTGAATAAGGTGTTTATTTTCTATTAGTGATATTGACAAATCATTTTATTTGTAAATTTAATTTAAAATTTTAGTTTAAAATTTTGATTTTCTCATATTATTTTAAAAATAAACAGCCATAGAATCTGACAAAATTAGGATTTTATGAGCTGTCAGAGGACAATATTTAATTGAAGAAAACGAAACCAAGTTTGAAATAATACTTTTTTAAAAAATTTTATAATAATCCAAGTTTGGATATTTCTGCGGTTCACGATGGACAAAACGACAAAATTATGTAGTTTTCATTACCAGTTGGTTTGACATCTGTCAGACTGATTTAGATCAATTATTTAGATTATATGTGCAAATTAAGTTGGTTTGACATCTGTCAGAATGATTTAGATCAATTATTTAGATTATATTTGCAAATTAAATTGGTTTGACATCTGTCAGAATGATTTAGATCAATTATTTAGATTATATTTGCAAATTAAGTGAAGTGTCATCAGTAATAAATGAAGTAGAATTGTCTCTCATCTTATTCCCATTCCCTTTCCTCTCCTTCTTTCACATATTGTTTTTTTTTTTTTTTTCGTCTTATTGTCTCTATAAAAAAATTAATATAAAATGTTGACGTGGCTAAACCATAACATTTCAAATAAGAGAGAAGGGAAGAGAATAGAGATTAGAAGGAGAGAGAATCCTCCTCCATAATAAATAAACACGTTTAACAAATTTAATAATAATCTAACACACATGCCATATGACTTTATAAACTTTAATTTAAATAAATGGAATTGTTATTAGCACTCCAAAAATCTTATTTTGCACTCCAAACTCTCTATAATTAGAAAGAAAAATACATTGGTGAGAAGTGTAGAATGAGATTTTTGGAGTGCTAATAACAGTTTCCTAAATAAATGAGCACTCTTAAATTACCTATTTAGAAAATGATAAATGTTAAGGAGACTCTCAAAAGTGGAACTCTCTATCACCTTATGTTTGGCACACTGTTTTATAATTTTGGCACAAAAATTGACATTAAACTGTGAATTGACAGAGAATTTATAAAAAGTCTCATTGTGAGGCTAAACCCACCCCATTAGTGCAGATAATATCGTTTGTTAAAAAAAAACATCCTACTTTTAAAAAGTCTCTTTAACATTTCTTTTACAAAATATGAAGGGTTGCGAGCCTAAATCGATCAGAATCTCAAAAAGATTGAAGAACTATATTCTGTACTAGACGATTTTTATTTTTTATTTTTAACAAATGATATTATCTACACTAAAGGAGTGGGGAGTGGGTTAGGCCTCACAATGTACTAGCAATAATGTGGTTCAAATTCACCTTTAGTAAGAATCGAATCTAAGACCTCTCACTTACAAGTACAGAAAGAATAACATTGTCATAGTACTAAGTGGCACCAAACGATTTTGTATTAAATTTGAACTGAAACCGAAGTCATTATTAGGCTTCAATCCATTTAAACAAGGCTGGCCCTAAGGGTAGCCGAAGTAGGCGGCCGCCTAGGGGCCCCCACTTTGGAGGGACCTCAAAAAAAAAAAAAAAAAAAAAAATATATATATATATATATATATATATTATATACACGTACATATAAATTTTACAATTCAAATTTAATAAAAATATCAAAAAATAAAATCCTAGGCAACTGAAAAAGAATTGGTTGAAAAATTAGATTATGGTTAATTAGTACATTTGGTCTAAAAACGCAAGACGTGTAATATTTAAGTGATGTTTGTATATCTTTTTTCTTTTAATATTAATTTTTAATGATATTTTATTTAGAAATAGACATTTTCATATATTTAGCTTTTTATACATATCAATGTACAAAGGTTCAGGAGGTGGGGGTCAGAGAACTATAAGATCCCACTTCGAAGGCTCGCCTAGAATTCTAAATTCTCATGGCCGGCCCTACATTTAAATTTAATTTGCAGACATACACACACAAACACATAAGGTTTAGAAACATAGTTCGTTACATTAAAACTTGGAGGCGTGACTAAAATGAACAAGTACCTGTTCATTAAAATTATTTGAACAATGAACAAGTACCTAATTCAGAAAAATTATATGTTCCCCTATATAGAAGGAAAATTTCTCTTCGAAACAAATTAACCAAAATCATAATTTTCCTTTCTCCAGACAAATACTAAACCATTTAAAAAATAATAATTAGTTTCTAGACAATTTTGAGGATCCTTTTCACCTCCTTGGTTTCACTTACACAGTTATAAATGAAAACATGCCCCTAATGTGATTTACGGTTCAAAATTTTTGTGTCGATTACAAATTTGAAAGTGACAAACGATCGGGAGAATCAGAGAAGAAGCGAGCGACCGGTTGGAGGTGGCAACCGACTGGTCAGAGATGGGCAGAAAAAATTGCTGGTGTCCTCTCGCGTTTCCTGTTTGGTTTTGTGTCTAATTTGGGTTGAGTTTTGCACTTTTGGTTTGAATTCTTTGTTTTGTGGACAAATTTTGGTAATGTACTTATTTGATTAGTATAATGATTTGATGTCCTTGCCTATTACGTTTTAAATTTACTTTCTATTAGGATTCTCATTTATAAGTCCTATACTCTATAAATAGGGTCTTGGGTTTGTTTATTGGGACTTTTTTTAGTGGCAAATTTGTGAGAGTCATTTGAGAGTTAGAGATAGGATAATCTCCTCTAATTGTTTTTTTGGTCTTCTCCTTGTTTGATTTAAGGTTTGTAATTTGTGAAATTTGGATTATGAGGTACCAAAAATTCTTTTGTAATCCCTATTTTTTTAGTGAAATTCCTCATCGTACTTCGCCTATTGACGTAAACTTTATACTAATGACTATAAGAAAATTGAGGTACCAAAAATTCTTGTTTTCAGATTATTTTCTTTGTGCCAATGACTACAAGAAAATTGAGAATTTAATCAGTGTTTGTTGTCAACAAAACAATTAACGACGAGGCCGCATATAAGAACATATTGAGTTTGAAGCATTGTATGAATCTTTTGAGATATGAATAGTAATCCTCATTTAACTGACCGTGTAAATTTTAGACGAACTCGTGCTTTTGGATAACGATAGATCAAACAATGTTATATATATAATTGTCATTAACCTTGTGAATAAATAAGATTATTCTATGGCAGATGACGTTTTATTGCAGTGGTAAAAAACAATGATGCATATGCACTTTGGTGTGAATTTAAACCTCACTAATTTTTCTCTCACATAACAACTCACAATTTAACCCACTAATATTATCGTTTGTCAACAATATTTTTTTTTTGTTTTGTTTTATCGTGTAAGCATTGTATTCTTATTTAAGATGTTAATGTATCCACGAGCTACCTAGCTTACCTTTTTATATGAATACAAAAATCAAATGGAGTGGATATATGGGACATAGAATCTAGCGAAGGATACACTTCCAAACAATAGACTTTAAAAACATTAACTACAATAAAGGCTGAATCACATGCATACCCTTCTAAAAATCTTATTTGAGGTCGACCGAAGACCAAGACTTTATTTGAGGCCATACGTCAAGGAAGGCCGCCATGCACAAGGGTGTCCTTTTTCTCTAGGCTTGGAGCGTATGAGTAAGAATATTCGTCATTATGCAAATTAAGAAATAATATTCAATCCGAATTCTTTGTGAAATTCAATTTTCTTTTTGTTAATTATTTTTTTTAGACTTCTGATAAAAAAAATTATTTTTTTAGACTAAATTGTAGCTAAGATCTCTAAATTATACTATGAGTTTAATTTTTGTCTCTAAACTTTACTATAGTTGCTCTTGCCCTCGAAATATATCATGTGTTGTACTTGTGGTGTTTTTGTTAACTGCGTTAACATTTCATTAAATTAAAGAGTAAAGTAGATATTTCATAAATAAAAAAAATAAAAGAAAATAAAAAGCAAATTAAATAGCCATTTAGGATGCGCTTGTTGCACCAGACTATCTCGGACTGGACTAGATTCAGGGACTAAGTTGGACTAACTTAACATGAACTAAGCAGCTAAGCAGTATAAGAATAATAAAGCGTTTGGTGCAGTGCCGGACTAGCAAGCGAACTAAACTATTTTTGGAATTTGATATTTTTTTATACCAACATTTTCTCTCTCTCTCTCTCACCATGTATCACACCTTATTTCTGTAGAATGTTGAGCACAGAACCAAAAAGTCCAACTCAAACCGAACCAAATAAAACACTGAACATGGAAAAACCATAGTTGTGAGCTTGTCTCTCCAGTAAAATCCAATTCTAAATGTTCAAAATCAAAACATCTCTCTAATAAAACCAATTCTAAATATTCAAAACCAAAACAAAAAAATCAAAATCCTAAAAATTATCTTGCTATAATGGAGTTCCATCGCCTTGCACCTCTCTCTCTCTAAAATTTGCAGATTCTGTTTCTTTTTTATCCAGAAAAAAGCCAAAGATATAAACCATTTCAATTTCATCAACATATATTTCAACTCCGACAGATTTCATTTGGAACTGGAAATAACACACACTCATATTTATATAAACCCCAAAAACAAAAGAATTGCAAATGAGAGTCAGAGAGAGAATTTCAACTTCTTCCTTTTCTCTCTAGTTCAGTATTAACGAAGGCTCTACACACGTCAATGGCGAATTTAGCAAAGAAACAATTTTGCAATCCAAAATTGACCAAACCACTCTCAAATTTAAGCTAAACAATCATCATATCATCAAAACTATAAAAATTAAACATTACCCAATAATACTAAATCAAAACAAATTTTGGATCCTCATCAACTCACCCCCTGTCGTAGCCTTTTTGGGCTTCCCAGGACCCAGATGACGCAAACGAGGAGGTAATCGTCGAAGATGAAGCAGTTGACGAGTTCAGCGTCGAAGATGAAGTCGTGCCCGAAGCCTTTGCTGTCGAAATCAAGGTCGAGGAGGTGAATCAAGCAGGACGATGTGATGTGCCTTCGCAATTGAGGTTAAGGAGGTGAATCAAGCAAAACGAAGCGAAGTTCTTGGCTAATCCCGTGGTTCTTGGGGGGACTTGTGAAGACCGGTTAGTGACGTTTCTAGTGAAAACGAGTCCTAGTTAATCTCATTAACACTAGTCTCCTAAGGCAACAAACACTAGACTAGACTAATATTTAATCTAGTCTAGTCCAATGAGAGCTAAGACGGGCAAATAAACACCCTCTTATAGAATTAAAAATTCAATCAAAGGGAAAATTGAACTGAATTGCTTTTTCTTCATACAAATTTTTTTGATGAAATTTATATTTTATCTTTCAACTTAATAGGAAAATTGACGGAATAATCTAAAAGACTACAACGGCAACAAAAAGCATCATTTAAAGACGGAAAAAATTATTACTTGTGGTATAATTTATTCAGAAACCTTTATTGTAATTTATTGAAATCTTTCACAAATACGAGCTGGAACACAACTTTTCAACAACGGATGGTGGGAAGAGGAGTTGGATTTTTTCCAGATCTTCTTTGTGAGGATTTGGAGGATAATCAATCGTGTTCGTTTATCCTATATCATACGAATAAAAATTATTTTTAATTTTTAATTTAAAATTAAATATAAATAGTACCTAATGAAAACTGACTTTACGATATACGATAAATGGACATAATTAATTAATATTCGGATCTCTACAAAGAAAATGCAAAGAGGATCCTTGTCCGTGGGAAGAGATTTCACACTTCTTTTCCGCCATCTGTTATCTTTTGTGAATTTTGAAAAGATAATAGAGTATTTAATTTGAGTGCATGTGGATAAAAGAGGAATATGCCAAAACCCTTTATAATAAAGTCGTTGTCAAAAGCAGAAAAGAAGTATCAAGAAATCAAATTATCATGATGTAACCACAACATCAGCTTGACTTGTAATATGAACATGAGATTTATATTGACACACGTTAAATTACTTCTTCCACGTTTTTTAATCTTTTTAATATTTTTTTATCAAGTGTTAATGGTGTGTAAAAAAATATTAAAAAATTAAAAAAATACAGAAGAAGTAATTTAAGATGTATGAATATAATCTCTCATACGAAGATAAATGAAAATGAAGTGGTTTGTTTTAGGCTTGGGCATGATGAGTAAAAATTGGCATCTATTTTTTAAGAAAATTAAGTAAAATATTGACAAATCGAAAACTTCTCCATCTTAGTTTATGTCACTCGAAGAAGCCATCAGGCTAAGTAATTGAGAATATAGTATCACCAAGAAGAGCTATATACTTCTTAATCAAAGATTATACAGAGAGGGGGCTGGCGGCAAGGGGAGAGAAGAGAGAGTTTCGTTATTCAGTGATGTACTTTTTTACTCTATTGTACTTTTATTTATAATAGTAAAATAAGACATCACAACTAAGAAACTATTTAAAATATATTATAGAATTCTACACGTAATCTACTGGAATTTACATAATCACATTTCTAACTAATTTAGAACCGCAACTATCAATTTAATTTTTTAAGTCCCAATAGAAATGGAGGAGTAGGCTCCTAATAGCTAGGTGTCAATCACACTTGGATTTACGAAAGCATATCCAAGCAGTTCCACTTTGCTTTCAAATAAGGCCTTGCTTTCTTCACTCATCGTCACCCATGCTTCAATTCCGCTGCAATCTCTTTTGTCCATCAAAACAATTATGTTCTTAATTGCAATACTAGCTACGCTCGCCCATGATGGTCTTCCCCATCCGAAATCGGCTTCGTAGAAAGGAAACCTACACCAACTTGTGCAGCTATAAATCTCCATGTTGTCACGAGTTTTCGGCTTATTCTGCTCATCTTTGATTTCTTGCCATGCCTCATCAGAATCAAAGACAAGTTTTGCAGCATATTTTTCTTTCAGTCCTTCAATGCCTTCCCTCAATTTAGCAACCAAGTCTTTTAGATTTATCACACTACTCTCTTCATCAGCCTTTGACGTAAAGGAACCCACAACATTCCCAGCCAAGTTTTCTGGCAAGGGAGGCACAACCCTTCTGGTAATGAGTGAAACATCCCTTGTCTAAGCGGCTTGGTAAATATATCAGCCAACTGTGCTCCAGTTCGAACGTAAGCTGTCGTGATAACCCCTGATTGAATACATTCACGAACAACATGGCAATCGATCTCTATGTGTTTGGTACGCTCGTGGAACACGGGATTGGCTGCTATATGAAGAGCCGCTTGATTGTCACAATGCAGTTTTGCTGGCACATGATGATCAACTCGTAAGTCAACCAACAAGTATTTCATCCATGTAAGCTCACATGTCGCAGAGGCCATGGCACGATACTCCGCTTCTGCTGAAGATCGAGAAACGGTGGTTTGTTTCTTAGTCTTCCAAGATACCAATGCTCCTCCAAGGAATATGCAATAACCCGTGACAGATCTCCTTGTAATTGAACATCGAGCCCAATCGGCGTCACAATATCCAGCCAAGATTAGGTCCCCCTTTGAAGGAAATAGAATTCCTTGTTCAGGTGCCCCTTTCAAGTATCGCAAGAGACGATGGACTGCATCTAAATGTGGTTTTCTTGGTTGTTGCATGTATTGGCTGAGTACATGAACTGCATATGAAATTTCCGGTCTAGTGATAGTAAGGTAAATAAGCTTACCAACAAGTCTCCTATACTTCGAGGCATCATGAAGAATTTGCCCTTCCGTTGGAGATAACTTCAAATTTTCTTCCATGGGAAATTTTGCAAGTTTGACACCCAGTAAGCCGGCTTCATCAAGAATGTCAAACGTGTATTTCCGTTGCGAGATAGAAATACCTTGAGAAGACCTAGCCACCTCTACGCCGAGAAAGTATTTTAATGGTCCCAGATCCTTGATTTGAATCTGAGTGTGAAGAAACTGTTTGAGATCACGAATGGCCTCTTCATCATTGCCTGTGATGATCATGTCATCGACGTAGATTAGTATAGCTGTGAATGAGTGATCACGTACCTTGGTGAACAAGGAATAATCGGCCTTGGATTGTTGATACCCAGCTTAGTGTATAGCAGTAGAAAATTTGTGAAACCAGCTTCGAGAGGTTTGTTTAAGCCCGTAAAGTGACTTGTTGAGTCGGCATACATTGTACTCCCCCTGACGACGAAGACCAGAAGGCAGTTGCATATAGACTTCTTCCCCAAGATCTCCATGGAGGAAGGCATTTTGAACATCCATTTGGTGGAGAGACCAACTACGAACAGAAGCTACGGCCAAAAGACATCGGACGGTAATAAGTTTGGCAACTGGGGCGAAAGTCTCTTTGTAATCGATACCTTCACGTTGTGTAAAACCCTTGGCAACAAGGCAAGCTTTATAACGCTCGACAGACCCATCTGAATGATACTTGACCTTGTAAACCCATTTGCAACCAATAGCTCGATGACCGGGAGGGAGACGAGTGAGAGTCCAAGTCTGATTTTGTTCCAAGGCCAGGAGTTCAGCTTGCATGGCGGCTTGCCATGCAGGATCACTATTAGCTTGCTCAAAGGTAGTGGGTTCAACAATGGTGGAAATAGCACAAGCAAAAGAACGGTGTGAAGAAGAAAGATGAGCATAAGAAACATAGTGAGATAAAGGGTAACGTGTACCTGACATGGAAGAGGAGGTGGCACTAGGAGAAGAGAGTGTACATGATATAAATGATAGCCCTGTAGTCGTACGGAGGGTTTGGGAGGACGGTTGGAGTGACGAGTGGCAAGGGGAAAAGGTGAGGGGCAGGCTCGGTGATGAGAGGGTCCGGAGAAGGGTTGGTGGCATGGATAGGGGGTGTGGCTTGTGGTGGATCGTACGGTGGGTCGTGTGGTGGGTCGTGGGATGGAAGGGGGATAACAGTGGTCTTAGGAGCAGGTGGGTCGATGGTAGTATCAAAGGGAAGGGGGAGAACAACACTGGCAGGTTGGTGATCTGGGGGTTGGGAAGCAAAGGGAAAGGTGTCCTCATGAAAGATCACATCACGGGAGGTGGAGAATTTGTGGGTAGTGAGATCATAAACACGGTACCCCTTTTGACCAAGAGGATATCCAACAAATATGCATCTCCGAGCACGTTGATCAAACTTGTGTGTGGGAGTGAGATTCGTGGCATAGCATAAGCAACCAAACACACGCAAGTGATGAAAATCTGGAGGTGTACAGTGTAAAAGCTCAAATGGGGTTTTGTGATGGAGGAGTGGTGTTGGTAAGCGATTGATTAAATAACATGCCGTTTGAACACTTTCCCCCCAAAAAATTAAAGGTAAATTGGCTTGAAAACGAAGTGCTCGCCCAACATTTAAAAGATGGCGATGTTTTCGTTCAACGACCCCATTTTGTTGGGGAGTAGAGGGACAAGAAGTGTGAAACACAATACCCTTGCTATCAAAAAAGGAACGTAAAGAAATGAATTCAGCCCCATTATCTGCCCTAATCGTCTTGATCATGCGATTGAATTGTGTTTGAACCCAAGCAATAAAAGAACGTAACAACCCTTGTGTTTCAGATTTTAAACGCATAAGATGGATCCAAGTAAATCGTGAATAATCATCAACAATAGTCAAAAAATATCTAGCCCCCGAATGAGAATTGACTCGATGAGGTCCCCAAATATCACAATGTATTAAATCAAAAGGTGCTTGAGATGAAATAAAGCTTGACGGAAAAGACAAACGAGTTTGTTTAGCAAGGGGACAAATGTCACACAAATGACTAGAATCAAACATAATAGTTGGAACTTGCTTGGTCAAAAGTTGTAAGGGACCGGTGGAGGGATGTCCTAAGCGTCGGTGCCAAAGGTTTGAATGACGGTTGACATTGTGAGCTAAGTGAGGATTTTGTGTGGACAACAAGTAATAGAGCCCATTATATCGCTTGCCCAGGCCAATCGTCCTCCTCGTAGCCATGTCCTGTATCACACAAAAGGTAGGAAAGAAAATCACTATGCATTGTAGAGACTCAGTGAGTTTGTTAACGGATAACAAATAAACTTGAAAATTTGGAACATGTAACACATCATCAAGTTTAAGAAGGGGAGTTGCTTGGACAGAACCAACAGATTCTATAATGGCTTTTCCCTCATTCGGCATTTGTACATAATCACACATAGATTTCTTGTGAAGCAAGTGAGGTGAAGGAGATATATGATCCGTTGCCCCACTATCAATGATCCAATATAGGTTTTTCTGTGGTAAGGCTCCTGACATTTTGGACAGAGGTGTAAGAGTACCTGTGGCGTTTGCAAAATGGTGAGGATTACCATCCAAGTTGTTTTTCTTGAGGATAGCCATGATTTGGTTGTACTCTTCAGGAGTGAACTTGGGGCTGCTGGTTTCATGATGGTGTTGATCCGTGACTGTGGCGACTTCACTGCCAGTCTTTATTTGATTAGCCGCAGGTTTCTTCTTATTAGGAGGAATCATCTTTTTGCCATGGTATTTGTGCCCCGGTGGAAAGCCATTAAGATAAAAACACCGATCTACGGTATGATATTTTTTATCACAATATGAGCATTTAATAGAGGAGTTACCTCGTTGTGCAGCAGATTCCCTATGGCTTGTCAAATGCATCGCATGCAAACTGTTGCTATGACGAGTGAGAGATACCTCCACTTGTTTCTCTTGTTGTAAAACAAGAGAGTATGCCTTCCGAGTGTCGGGAAGTGGCTGCATCAACAAGATTTGCCCACGTACTGCGGCATAGGACTCGTTTAATCCCATGAGAAACTGCATCACTCTTTCCTTTTCATCACATTCATTGATCTTCTTCAAACCCCCACAAGTGCATGTCGAGGGCTCATGATAGGACGTCAATTCATCCCACAATGCCTTTAGTTTGGTGTAGTAGACTGAGATCGATTGTTGCTCCTGTCTGTGCTCAACAATTTCTCTCTTAATTTGATAAACACGTGAATCGTTCCCTTGAGAGAAACGATCACGCAAGTCAGCCCACACATCTGCTGCCGATGTGTAGTAGGAAACGCTGCTTGCAATGTCTTCATGCACAGAATTCAGGATCCATGCGAGGACCATGTCATTGCATCGTTGCCACAATGCAAATTGTTTATCTGTTTCAACAGGTGGGTCAATGGTTCCATCGACCAAACCTAGCTTGTTCTTAGCACTTAGACTGATGCGCATAGCACGGCTCCATGTGTTGTAGTTGTCTCCTTGAAGGGTTTTGGAGACCAAGATGTTCCCAGGTTGATCAGAAGGGTGTAATAAAAACGGGTTCGAGAGATCAGCAGCCATCTCTAATGGTTTTGTGTTGGTTCCTGAATCACTCATGATGACGATGTTGTTGGTTGTGGTGCGGAAGCGTTGAAGATAGGTGGGGTATTCAGAGTCACCAGAAACGGTGCTCTGATACCATGTTAAAATATGAACCTGCTAGGGTTTCGTGGGTTCTAGGGTTTAAGCCGTGAGAGAAAAGTGTTGAAGATGTTTTCGTATATTAATTTTCTTCACAAGAAGTACAAGCTTTATACAATCAGAATTAGGCTATTCTAGGAAGTCTACTTATACAAGGATTACATAAATCAATCTATTCCTATAATAAAGGAAACAATCATACTCCAAGATATTGTCGCTTAATAACATTCCCAGCCAAGTTTTCTGGCAAGGGAGGCACAACCCTTTTGCGCAAGTTCACATCTTGACGGAAAAATGAAGGCCCTTGCTTCCTCAAGTTTGATCTCGATGCTTCGGTTGCACACTTCCAAATGAGTGCTGAAACCGCTTCGACTCGTGTAGGTTTGGCCACAAATGAACTGGCTACTTCAGATTGGAGAGTGGAGATCTTTGAGGCATCAAAAACATACCTCTGTATTATGCATTTTTCTTTGATGACTTCCCTTGCTGGTGGCTGAGATGAGCTAGAAAATTCTATTGGTTTAAAAACAGATGCAGCACCAAATTCTGGAAGGTTTAGTACCTGATCACTGTCACTTGACCCAAGTGCTATTGTGGCCCAACAGTTGATGAATGTGCATAGTGTTGATGCATCTGCAATCCTATGTGAAATGCTCAACCCAATTGCCATTCCACCACACTCAAACAAGTTAACTTGTACAAGCAGCAACCAGCCTGTGCCCGCTTCTTTGGATTCAATTTCAATGGGAAGGAATCGTTTCAATATCTGGCCATCTGGGTTTTCCAAAATATCCGACAAGCAACAGCTGATTCGTGCTTTTATAAATGCAGCTCCATCATCGTTGCACTCGACTATGGAATTACCTTTCACAATCCTTCCTGCTAAAGGGTAGAAGTGCGTGAGAGTTTTAGCTAATGATTCTATTAGATGCCGGCATCTTTCATCTATGCTCATAGCATGGTGGCGAGTACTAACGTTACTAGTAGTACTGGTAATGGGATAGAAGAGAAGGAGTGGGGTGTAAATTACGAAAGCCATCTGATCGAGAAAAGAGAGCTTATAACTTCTCAAGTGATGAGGAGTTGAGGTGGATGGTTTAATTGTTTGCCTCTCAATAATTTCTACCTTGATTTCTGTGGCCATCTTACCTTACTCTAGGTAGGTGATGTCTTGCTAACAAGTTAGTGTTTACAGCGCTATACATATTTGTATATATAGCGATGCTATGCATAGTGCCAAACTCTACTATGGTATGCATAATAATTAAAACACAAATCCGGCTTTTTTATTCAGATAAGTCAATGATTAAAAGCAACACATGTTAATCAATCCACATAGAGAACGACATCACAACAACAATTGAAAGTGACAAGATCATGCTAATTGATTACAGAGTTATATAGAGAAGCATCTGCAAGCAAGCGGCTCATGATTGCTTTTAGTAATGGCGATGGCTTCTTCTTTTGAAGTCAACTGTGCTGGTATGCAATTGCCCTCTACATATATAGATCACGGTCATGTGTTAGATAATAATTTAAATACACGGAGGGTGAAACACATCTCCTTCATTCATTACTTTCTAATATAAAGCTTAAAAACATATCAATTTTGTTGAACCAAAAAGGAGGAAAAAGTAATAAAATCAGAGACAGTAGAAGCCTCGAAACAACTATTCAAGCATCTACAATCGCATCCATCTGAGAAGCGCAAGAGGATGTTAATAAAATGACAGGCGGATTCACAGAAGCATATGCAAGCAGATCTTCATGTCTTTCAATTATGGCCTTGTCTTCTTCTGTAAAAATTAATGATGCTTCCACCCAAACACCGTCACTTGTGTCCATCAATATAATTATATTCCTGAATTCACTACTACGAATTCTCACCCAAGACGGCTGCCCCCATCCAAAATTTGCTTCATAGAAGGGAAACTTGCACCAACTGCTACAATTATAGGTCACTATATTGTCATTTATCAGGATGTTCCCGGATTCTCTGACGCTTTGAAGTGCATAGGCCGGCAATTCCTGGCACGACCCGATAACCCAACACAACACGACACGAAATTAACAGGTGTTCGGGTCGACACGATAACGAATCGGGTCGTTATCGGGTAACCTGATAAGTACCTGTTAAGATAACGGGTTGATTCGGGTATACACGTGGGTAACACGATACACGATAAGAAGAATATTATTTTTATAATTTTATAACCCTAAAAAAATACTATAATAATTATATACATTAATTTAACAATTTTATACCCCTAAAAACTATAATAAATACATATATATATATATATTAAATTAACTATAAAGTCTATAATAATTATAATAATTATATATACTATAATAATTATACCTCCAAAATATTAACTATCTATAATAATTATATATATATATATATATTAAATTTTGAATTAAATTTTATAAAAACTATAATAATTATTAATTAATATGCATGATGCATGATGCATCCATTGATTTGATTCCATTCCATTCATGCCAACCTTTTTGAAGAAAAAGGGAGGGAAAATGAAAATGATAAGAAAAGTTGAAATGGAAACAAAAAAAGTGAGGGAATTAGGGAAAGATGCTAGAGGGAAAAGTATAAGAAAAGTTGAAAAGGAAACAAAAAAGGGAGTGAAAAATGAAAATTAATAGAAGTGGTGAGAATTTTTTTTTTTTTTTAAGTTATTAACTTTTTATCACACATATGACATATCTCATTATTTTTATAATGACACACTTGATGTACTACTTCGTGTACCAGTCAATTATACGTACAAAATAAATAGATTTAAATCTACTTAATAAATATATATATACACACACCATTGGAACTTGATGGGATACAATTTCTCCGAAACTAATTTCAACGATCTCAACCGTCAAACTTGTTTGTATATGCTTTGAGATCACATCAGCAAAAAATCGCAAAAAACAAACATTCAGAGATCAAATAACGGGACAAAGCTTTTCGACGGTTATAAACGAAAAATCACGATTTAACGGTTATTTTAATTTTGATTTTGATGATTTTTTATAGCTACACTCCTTGACCCTATATGAATACAATGAATAAATTCGATCTTCAATTTAAAATATTTACACAAGTGGATACCACAAAATCTTATGTTATACTTGATGAAAATATAAATAAACTCTAAGTGTTAGTTAATCTATTGTTTTTATGGGATACGAATTCTCTTAAACTAATTTCAACGATCCCAACCGTTAAACTTGTTTGTATATGCTTTGAGATCACATCAGCAAAAAATCACAAAAAACAAACATTCAAAGATCAAGTAACGGGACAAAGCTTTTCTACGATTATAAACGAAAAATCACGATTTAACGGTTATTTTAACTCTGATTTTGATGATTTTTTTACAGCTACACTCCTTGACCCTGTATGAATACAATGAATGAATTCGATCTTCAATTTAAAATATTTACACAAGTGGATACCACAAAATCTTATGTTATACTTAATGAAAGTATAAATAAACTCTAAGTATTAGTCAATCTATCGTTTTGATGGGATACGAATTCGCCAAAACTAATTTCAACGATCCAAACCGTCAAACTTGTTTGTATATGCTTGGAGATCACATCAGCAAAAAATCACAAAAAACAAATATTCAGAGATCAAGTAACGGGACAAAGCTTTTCGACGGTTATAAACGAAAAATCACGATTTAACGGTTATTTTAACTCCAATTTTGATGATGTTTTACAGCTACACTCCTTGACCCTATATGAATACAATGAATGAATTCGATCTTCAATTTAAAATATTTACACAAGTGGATACCACAAAATCCTATGTTATATTTAATGAAAATATAAATAAACTCTAAGTGTTAGTCAATCTATCATTTTGATGGGATATGAATTCTCCGAAACTAATTTCAACGATCCAAACCGTCATACTTGTTTGTATATGCTTCAAGATCACATCAGCAAAAAATTGCAAAAAACAAACATTCAGGGATCAAGTAATATTATTCAGTTAGCATGAGATGTGTTAACAATTCCCATTTCAACTGTTGCATCAAAATCTACATTTAGTATTGGGGGTAGAGTACTAGATCAGTATCATAGTTCATTGTTACCAGAAACAGTTCAAGCTTTGTTGTGCACACGAGATTGGCTATTTGGAAAAGGAGGTAATATATTTTTATATGGTATAGTATTATTATTTTATTTCTTTTCATAATTATTTTGGTAAACTTCTCATAATTTGAATGATTTTTAATGTTTGGTTTTTCTATACTTAGTTTATGCGGAACAGAGTTCTGACGTGGAAAACCTTACTGAAAACATCTTCAACATAACTCTTGAAGGCAATAGATCAAGCCAAAGTTCCAATACAATTTCATGATGATCGATGTAGATTGAAGATTTTGTAAATGGAGGTGTAAACATTTGAGAAAGACTTACAATCTTGAAAACAAAAACTCTTTCATTTTGCATATCCTTGCACATTTAATATTTGTAATAGATTAGTAGTGTATATATTATTTTTTTTATTAGGCTCTTATTTTTTAGTGTAGATATAGTACTTAAACGACAAATGTTTTAATGTTTTGAAGTAATATTTATGTGGCAATGTGTGGTATGTGCAAATTTAAAAAAAAAAAAAAATTTCTTAACGGGTCATAACGGGTCGGGTCACTTTAAGGACCCGTTAAGATAACGGGTGACACGACACGACCCGTTAAGATAACAGGTTTTACACGAAAACGACACGAACACGACAGAGACGACCCGTTTGCCAGGCCTACTCACAACTAACACTGTTAGGATACTTTTCTTTATATTCCTCAATGCCTTTCCTGAATTTTGCAACCAAGCTTTCCAGATCCACCTCACCTTTACAATGTTTTAAAAGGGCAAAGGCGTGGGTGATGCGTTTAATGGATAGTCCTGTCGGTGGCTAATCTAACAAAACCTATTGTTTGTAAAAATAAAAAAATAAAAAAATAAAAAAATAAAAAATTATATATAACATATAAAAACTATAATACTTTGTAGAATAAATATTCATTGTTATTCAAAAGTGCACAAGTTACATACAAGTTTAACTCACATCACAAACAAGTTTAACAAAGCAATCAAATTAATCAATAATCAAACAAATAGAGTGGAAATAAGCCATTTAGAGATTTAGGTAAGTGCATATTTATACGTACTACGAGAGTTTTGAGTAATATTTGAGTGAGATATATAGTCTTAAAAAAAAGTAAGGATAATATAATGTTTCTTTTAAATAATATAACGTTAAAAAAAATAAAACAAAAAGATGTTTATCTCAAAATATCCAGGAAAATATGCTTCTTTATCTTAAAAAAATAATAATAAAAACAAACTAAAAAATGCTTATCTATTTTGAATATGAGAAAAAATATATATAAAAAACAAAAAAATTAACATAAAGGAAGATGGTAGAGTAATAAATGTCAACAAAGTGGGGTCAATTTAAACTTTCAAGAGAAAAAAATATTAAAAAAAGAAAAGTCAACAACAAAAATGCCTTCGCGACTTTGTCTTTTTCGTTGGAAAACAGACGACCCTGCAACTTCTTCATCTTCATCAGATAAACGGCCCTGAAATATTCTGATTTCAGATCTGGGCAACTCAAAAAAAAAAAAAAAAAAAAAAAAAAAGGAGCCCCACCGAACACCTCAGGTGTGCCTCGGCCGCCCAAGCATCCTTGATGAAGCATGGGCAAGTTTTTTGCCCACTCCCACACAACATAAGTGATTTTTCTCCCGCCCCACCTCCAAGGCCGCCTAGGCGTACCTTGGGGCGAGTTTTCTAAAACACTGCCTTTATATAAAAGAGGCAGAGTGAACAAAATCAATTAATAATGGAAGTCAACATCTTTCCTATACTGTATTTGTCTAATTAACTAAATTGGGCCGGCGTGACATTTTCTTCTAGCCATGTGCTTTCGGTTGAATATCAGACCGCGTGACAAACAAGACTACAAAATGATAAGAATATTATTAAATAAACAAGAATGCTGAAATGACTACAAAACTTCGAGAATCGTGACTAACTTGTTATTCATACTAAACTATAAGCTATATTTATACAGAGCAAACCCTAAAAACACTAATTCGGATGGACTAGAGCAATCTAGTGTTATTTGCTTCCCTGTCTCTATTCATTTACATACTTATCCACTAATGACCAGAGCAATCTAGCGAAGGTCACAAACTTGACACTTTCTGTTGTACCAAAGTCCTCGTCGATTTTGTGCATCAACAAGTACTAATAATAAGAAACCCATTTTCTTTATGAATATGCTAACCCCCTGTTTTAAAAACACATATATATATATATAATATTACATAGTGTAGGTTTTTCTGAAAACTCTAGTATGCTATGAAAACATTCGTAAAACAAGTACGCATAAAACAATGCTCAATAATGGTGATATCGCCGCTCGAAGGAAAATTCATAAATCTCATCAATACTGTACTCTCTAAAGGTATCATAGTCGCCTAAAGGCAGTAACTATCCATCACCCAAAGGTGAAGTTGTACGACACTGAGTTATGCTAGTGAAGAAACATGGTAGGCTATATCACCCAAAGGTAAAGCTGTACGGCTCTGGGTTACGCTAGAGAATGAACATATAACATCACACACCGACACTAGCCATGGCTAATGAAACTGTCTGACACTGGTTTTGCCAGTAAAGCTGGGGGTATGGCATAAATATCCTCAACTGTGTCAAATGGCCATAGATATCTACATACCCGTGTTATGTGGATGTGTTGTATGATAACCAACTAGATACGTACCAAAAACGTACCTCAAAATTCATATCCAATCTGGAGCTCACAAGCTCAAAGCCTCATTTCATAAATCCATGATAACCCATAATCATAAATCCATAAAATAGATCATATTCAAAAGCCACAGAATTTCATATGAACATCCAATAATCCAAAACCTTTCGTAAAAACGTAAATTCAATAAATCATAAATATTTCATAAAAGCAATTTAAATAAATTACATAAATAAATCAAAAAGCGTAAAATCATGAAATCATGCTTTTTGTGAATGCAAGCCTAATATTTTATAAAAACATGCAAGTTAAGAAAGGGTCCACTCATAAGTATTCCATTGCCTGGGAGCGACTTGAACTAGCGAGGATGGTGCCATTTCCCACTGACGCACCTAAACACAAATAGGGATCATTTAGTAAAACTCTACTGAAACAGTCAAATTTGGGAAAATGGATAGTGGATTCGGATTCTCATGTCGAAAAATCTAAGGAAGGACCTCGGGTTCCCCCACGCGCTGCCACAAGGCGGCGGCCCAGAAGGCTACACGCCGAGATGGGTCGTTGGAAAGTTCGTCGGAACTGCATAGTACCTCCAACGGAAGCGCTTGTGCTTCACTGGCTGGTTATGACACGCACCCACGCGTGGACCACGCGCCGACCGTGGAATAGGGCTTAGGTTCGGGTTATTAGATTGGATCTGGGTCAGATCCGGGCTGAGTTACTGGGTTGGGTCGAGTTAAGCTTAATGGGCCATGGCCTATTGGGTTTGGATCCGATTTAAGGCTAATAGATTGGGCCTGGTACTGGTTTGGGCTTGGGTTACATAGGCCCAAGGTTTAGGTCAGGTTTTGAGTTACAAGTCGGATTTGACCCGTTTAAACTCGCGGGTTATCGTACCCAACGAAGGAGAAGGCTAAATTTCGGCCAGGAAATTTCCCGAGCTCCAATGGAGCTTGAATCTTAACTATTTTTCAGAGATTTTATGTCAAAATGAGGCTAAAGACAAGGAAGCAAAGATTTACCAATTCCATGACTAGCCGTGGCCGGAAGGTGGCTGGAAAAACGCGACAAGGTGGTCCACAAAAGTCAACGTTTTTCACCTTGAAGGGCATTTTCGTAAATTCACTCTTTAAAATTATAAAAATAGTAATATTTGGGAACAAGTCATTACAACAAAATAATAAGAATATTATAAAATAAACAAGAATGCCGAAATGGCTACAAAACTCCAATAAGCTACAACATGACTAACTTGTTATTCATACTAACCTTTGAGCTATATTTATAGAAAGCAAAACCTAGAAACCCTAATTCGGATAGGCTAGGCCTATATACTAAACTAATAAGAAAACCCAAATAATCAAATAACTATAAAATACTAATATTTTCCAACGCTTTCTTGTTGGAACGGGTAAATTGTTTGCCCTTCAGTAATTTATACCTTCATTTCCAAGGAAATCTTAGGGGTTGTTTGGTATTTTTATTTTTGAAAACCTGGTATGAGAGAAATTAGTCAGAAAAAAATAATTTTTAACTAATCAGGATTCAGAAAGAGGACGACGTAAACATTACTCATCATAAAATAGGAGAAATAATGAATATTATGTTGTAGGCATAATTTACTAAACAATTATGGAGGCCATAGAGAGAGGGGTGAGGCAATAGCAGAGTAAAGAGAGAGATGTGTAATTATGAGGTGTTTTCTATTCCACCTCATTGTGTTTTTATTTATAGTAGTAGGATAGATAAAATCCTTACCCTTTTAGGATTACAATTCTTAATGGGTAATCAACCCTGATAGGAATACAAGAGATATTAGATCTACTAGGATTTACACATTCACATTCCTAATCTAATAGGACTGCAACATATTAAGTAATTTAGCTACATTCATCGTTTTTGAAAACAAAAAATTAGATCGAGAACTAATTCTAAACGCACCCTTAATTTTCCTTTCAATAAACACTTGTATGACCAAATATACATATATTTGCATAATTTCGATATGATCCTGACTAGTTAGAGACGTTTATTCTTGGGATTGAAGAGTAGTAGGATATAAACTTCACGTTGAAACTGTTTTAAAAAATAAAAAATAAAAAAACAGTGGTTCAGTTGTTTCTCAACGAAGACCCTCCATATAAAATGGTGCTGCAGATCCGGCTGACCATCTCTAATTTGCTGGTAATTACTTCAAACGTCTGAACTTTAGCTTCATGAGAAAGACCTCTTGCAATTTTTTTTCTACAGCAGTGATTATTGGTTAGAAAACTTATCACTCAAAGTTTGAGTGCAATTTGGATTGAAAATACCAATTCCGATTCGTTAATTTCAACCTTTATAAGGTCCAAATCAAACCCAATAACTGAAATTCAAATACTGTAAATTCAGAAAAATGTTGGAACTCTGTATTTTCCGAAATAAACATTGTTTCAAAAGAGAATGTGTGAATCAACCACGAACTGTTTTGAGAATGAACCTCCTCATCTTTCAGTAGGCAAGCATTCCTCATAGTTTAGTAACAGTCAAATGTATTGCTTTTTATTTCAACGTAATACAATATACAAACCGAAGTGAATTACATGGGCAACACAAAAGGAGAAATTATTACCAATCACTGAAGCAGTTGAGCGCGTCACCTAACCTAACTCGAAGGTGCTTTTATTAGGACCTTGCAGGTTGCAGGAGTTACCCCAGTACATAAGAGTTGTTTGAAAGAAGAATAGGTACCAATTTGATTCGCCAGATACTTCTTTGAAGCATTTAATCAAACAGCTTGCTGGCCAAATACACACAGTACCCTCAAAAGTGGAGAGCGATAGCCGTATCATTCAACATGCACAAGTTCAATTTAGAGGGGTCTGGGCGTCGTATCGGTAAAAAAGGCAGTAGCTTGACAGATAGATGGAATGACCTGTTCATCTTCGTCTCCTGCAAAAAGAAAGTAGGACTGAATTTTGGATGGCATTTTGTATTTATACCACCTATATTCAATTTCATCAAAATGCTTCACCTCTTAGAATCTTATTAAATCATTGATATTTTGACTACATTTAAACTTATGTGGATTTTTTTAAAATTATAATTGATTACTATTTTTTTTGGAAAAAAGAAATATTTATAACAAGAGGGAGGGATTGAGCTTAACTTCACAATAGACTAACTATAATGTTGATCAAACCTAAAACCTTTCACTTACTGAGAAGTCAGACTTGTGACCAAGAGAGGCTGAAATACTTCTGCGAGTCTTCCCGACCCCCGGAAGTGGTAGATAACAGTGGCTTGCCACCAATTGTTCCCCTTTTTAAAGAGGAAAAAAAAAAAAAAAAAAAACCTCTCACAGTGAAGTAGAATATCACTAGACCATAGTACTAATTTGACTACATTGTCAAGTCTTTTAAAATCCTAAATGACAACTCCTAAATTTCAAAGCTATTCAAATCCTAATTTGACTACGCCCAGCCCCAAAATATTATCATAGCGCAATTTTTATTCATCGACATGTTCATACAGAAAATAAACAGTATGAAATCATCAAAGCTCCAACAATATTCATCTAGGAAGAAACAGGAGGCGGCTTTTATTTTCCATTACTGCTTCAGCTAGTAATTAAAATGCAGCTCGGAATTAAGTTAAGAAGCATAAGCGAGCAGCTCCTCGTTTTTCTCAATTATGGCCATGTCTTCTTCCTTGAAAGTCAAGAAAGCTTCGATGCCCTCAGCATCGCTTGTATCCATCAACAAAACAAGATTCTTGAATTCACCTGTGGCGGTGAATATCCATGACGGCTTTCCCCGTCCAAAATTCGTGTCGTAAAACGGAAACCGGCATAAACTGCTGCCACAATAGTTGTCTATATCATCCCTTTTTATGAAGTTTCCCAACTCCTTGAACATTTCACATGCATCGTCCCCAGTTATTCCATTACCATACTTCACTTTAAATTCCTTAGTGCCTTTTCTCAATTTAGCAACCAAGCTTTGCAAATCGTCTACTTCATTTTCTTCGGTCTTTGCAATCGATAACCCCACAAGATTTCCCAATGAGTGTTCTAAAGATGCCCACCCCAGTATTTTCCGCAAATTCACCGGCTGACACCACGTCGAGGGCCTTACAAAACCCAAATTTGATCTGGATGCTTCCATTGCACATTTCCAAATGAGCGCCGACACTACTTCGACGCGCGTGGGATTAGGCACGGCGGGGCTGCCAGCTTTGGACTTGAGAGCGGCAATCTTTGAGTTATGAAACACGAAGCTCCGTGTTCGACAATTTTCTATAGCATATTCCATAACCCTGTGCGGCGTGTTTAGGAATTCTAGTGGTGGGAAGAGAGAGGCTGCAAAGCCAACTTCCACAGAAAGTACTTCACGATGGTCACTAGTAGTACTGGCCAAGTCAAGGGCAGCTGCAGCCCAGGTTTTAATGAATGCGCTCAATGTAGAAGCATCGGCAACCTTATGTGAAAGGTAGATTCCAATTGCTAATCCACCACAATCAAAGAAGTTGGCCTGGACAAGAAGAAGATGGTCTGTCACTGCTTGCGCGGATGTTATATCAGCAGGAAGCAACCGGCATAGTATCCCAAAATCTGGTTTGTACAAAACCTTCGATATGGGACAGTTCACTCGTGCTTCTGTAAATCTAGCCCCACGGTCATCACAAAGGATACAATCATTATATTGGAATTTTCCTGCAAAGGGATAGAAGTGAGTGAGGGTTTTAGATAATGATGTTTTTAGAATACTGGATCTTTCAGTGGTACTGGTACTATTGCTGCAGGGAGGATAGAAGAGAAGTACTGGGGGATAAATTTCAGTACTGAGCTGATAAAAAACACTGAGGTTGGTGGTTTTAAGATGGCTAGGAGTTGGAGAAGACGGTTTAATTGTTTCCTTGTGAATGAGCTCAACCTTGACCTCTGAAGCCATGATCTTGCTGTTTGGATTTTGAATATCCAGTATTCTATCAAATACAATAGCAGATGCAGCTTCTTAGATAAGGATATAAGAAGGTGAGGAACTTAAAAAGCACAATAAAAACTTAAAAAGGAGAGAAACTTAAAATACAGTGAAATGGATAAAAAGGATTGAAATACGACCTTTTGTTCTCTCCTGAGTTTCTATCCTGTCTTTTACCTCAAAAACGCAGATTTCTTTTGGGTTGGTAAAAAGGTACAACCTTTTTTAGACTTGGTATTCATATCGTGTTTATTGTGTTCATGTTATTTTCGTGTCATACCCGATAATTTAATAGGTCGTATCGTGTAACCCCCATTAAAGTAAACAATAATATGACCCAAATGAGTGTGTTAGAATCTTTTGACAAGTGGGAGTAAACTGTTCAAGCATAAGGACTGTTGTTGATGCTTCATTTCTTTGTACTGTTGTTGAAGCTCTAGGCCTAAAAGCTAAGTTAGTTTTTACTTTTGTTTAAACTGAGTTTGTTTTCTCAGATAGTTTTTTCAGTTATTATTTTGGTTTTCTATAAGGGTTCAATTTTTTCATCATTTGTGATTAATTGTCCAAAAAACAGACTCAATATATAAGAAAGTTTGGTTTGCTAGAAGATCATTTTGTGATTTGTTGGAGCATACTTTTGGAACTATTGAATATGATGTTCTGATATATAATGGTTAATAAGTTTTGGTTATTAACTATAGTCTTGACTTTTTTGTGTTAAAATTGGATTGAATGAGTGGGAGTAATGTGTATTTTGACATTACTGCAATTGTTGGTTCACATGATAACAAAATGCAAATTAGGTGTCTTGTGAGTGTTGAGTTAAATCAGTAATGAACACAAGGGGCTCAAGAGTTCCATATTTTAAAATGCTTAGGTAAAGTTGAATGCGAGATTAAGCTTTCAGTTAATTTGGACTTGGTGATCACTTTTATGATTTATAAGGCTGTTGGTCATATTTCATACTTACATGGAACAATGTTAGAGTATGAGTATGAAGTAAACATTAAGAGCCGGATTGTGTAATATTTTGTACGGAAAAGTCTTGTTAATAAGCTTAGAGGAATTCTAATTCTTGTAGAATTGTGAGTACTGTAAGTAGTCCAATAAACATGAGACTTAACTTAGTACTGTGACTCTTGATTCCCTCATATTGTAATATGGATTACTTGTTTGAGTTTATAAGAATTCTAATAGGGGAATGCTTGGAACAATTCTATATATAATCTTAACCACTGGGTCTGCTCTTTTATTCCGAATACCCATTGTTTGGAGAGTACTTGTGCTTCGCCAAAGGTTATTAGATTAAGAAACTTCAATGGCTTTGTCTTCCATCTCTGGTTCTGCAGTTAGGTTTGCTTTATAGCTTGTTCTTGACTTTTGGTAATTCAATTGGCTAACTTGTGTTTTGTGGGATTGATATATATATATATATATATGTGTGTGTGTGTGTGTGTGTGTGTGTGTGTGTGTGTGTGTGTGTGTGTGTAACTATATGTCTTAATGTATGGCTAACTTGTGTTTTGTGGGATTGATATATATATATATGTGTGTGTGTGTGTGTGTGTGTAACTATATGTCTTAATGTAGATGGTGTTGCATGGAAGGGTGCAGATGTTGGGTTCAAATTTGGGAAAGAAGAAGTATTTCTTCAAAATGTTAGTCGCCTTCACACATGCTAGTCACGCGATCAATTTGTGAGATTGAAATGTTGTTTACAAAGGTCGTAGCCAAGAATTTCTAGTGATTAGATTTACCTTGCTTAGTGAAAACGGTTTTCATGATACCATGTGTTTGTGCAGCAATTTCTGCACCTAGTTATCACTGAGATAATATTGATCCTTTCCATCCCCTTTACAGCCTTTAGTCTAATATTAGGTTAACATGAGTATAGTTTACCCTTTTTCTGTTTAAGCGTGTTCCCTGGGATGTTAACTAATTCGTTACACAAAATTATCTTAATCAATTCAACTACAAGCCCAAACAACTATTTAACACTAACTTCCTTTCTAACAAGTTGTAATTTCCAATACATGCATTTTCATACCATCTTAAACGCTGCTAAAAGTTTTAAGCCAATGGATGGCCATAATTGTAGGAGGACGTGAAGAAATTGTTGGTAAAATTATAACCATAATTAGTACAAACCTCAAAATTCACATGGATTCCTATTATTAATTAGATGACAGATAAGTTGACTTGTATTATTCCAAAGCTCAAAAACTCACGTGGATTCCTATAACTAGTAAGATGACAGATATTGACTTGGACGTGATGAAATCGTTGGGCTTGATTCTGGCTTTGTCGATTATGCTAATGCAGGTTACTTATCTAATTTGTACAAGACACGTTTTCAAATGGGTTACGTCTTTACAGTTAGAGAAACCGTAATATGTTGGATGTCAACAAGGCCGGTCCTGATTTTTTTGGTGCCCAGTGCAAAAGCTAAAAATGTGCCCTTTTTTAATATAGAAACATATGTTTAACATAAATATTTTGCGAGGATAATCACATGTATGTGTAAAAAATTCATCACTAGTAGCATGCAAAATGCCTTCCAATTTCTGTCATGTATGTGTAAAATTTTATTCACATCAACCAAATTATGATTAAAAATAGATGGAAAATCACATATACGCAGAACGCATTAAACATATCCAATACATCCCAATCCAATCACATATTCATCCAATCATATAAAATAACATATCCCACTAAATTAATCTCAACTGCATGCCATGTGAACCACCAAGTTGTTGAAGAGAAAAGCATGCAAGAACCGGTGGTGCAACTCTAGTGACCAGTTTTGCCTTCGTTTCCCTGTCCATCTTTCTCTTCTTTCTTGTTGTTCCCACCACTGTCTCCACTCACGGTGTCCGTGGTGGAACTAGTAGCCGGAGCCAAAGAAGGTTCTTTAGCCACCGGTCCATTTGTCTTTCCAATGCTTTTTTCCCCTTTGGAAAGGCTAAAAAGCACCCCATTTCTCTTCATCTCCATCACTATAGCCTTTAACTTGATCCTCCTGCCATTACCCTACACCTAAAAATCAATACTTTCTACTTCTTCACCTCAAATTTTATAAGCAACCAAACAAAAGGGCAGTCACAAAATTTACTAAAATTGATGAAGGTGGAGTCTTTTTTTTTTTTAATACCTTTTTGAGTGGTGCATCTGGAGTTGTATGAAATCAGTGTTAATGGAACGAATCCGTCAAAAACATGCCCCTCACTTGAAGTCTGCTCAGAACACTCAGATTGTCCATGCAGGTAATCTGCGGTTGCATCTAAAATCTGATGCTTGCACCTCTCAATAGCTACAAAAAAAACCCCAATTTTGAAAACAGAAACCAGAACAATTCAAGCAAAAGAAATGAAGCTTTCGACTTAGAAAACAAAAATTAAGTTGAAATTTGAAAAGGGTATGTGTTCTCCGTAGTACCTTGAGCTTGGGGAGTTGGGTGACAAGCTCCAAGCAGAAGAGAGGGAGCTCCCTCTGAAAAACTTGAATCTTATGCCTCTCCTCCATGCCCAAAACCTGGACTTGTCCCCTCCAGATTCCCTTTATGTTATATTGTTTTTTAATCCCCAAAACCTGGACAAGAAATCCTCTCCAGCCTTTATTTTGGGCTTTGGACAAAAAAAAAAAATTATACCTCATTATTTGGATTTTGTTTTGTGGGTGCCCCTTTCAACTTTGGACCCTAGACAATTGCCCTGTAGCACTGCGCCTGGACCGGGCCTGGATGTCAACCAAGCAAACCTTAGTGCGACTTCTTCGAACCATGATAAGATTCTCGCACACACGAAACTACGTGTGAATGCTTCTAGCTGAGAGCAATTTTGGAACATATTTGAAGCACATGCGGACTTTCTTCTATTATTGACGTCCCTACAACAATTTATGAAGATAACGATTCATGTATCAACCAGATTGAAAAATGATACACCCACATTGTGTTGAAAGTCTTCTTTTCACATCAGCAACAAGAGCATCAGAACATTAAAGTCAAACAAATCTGTTCTAGGACAACTTGGCTAATCTCTTTATCAAGTCATTACCAAAATCTACTTTTCAGAAACTTGTCCAAAGAATCGGTATACGTAATTATTTGATTTGAATTACTTGTAGTTCTCATTCGAAAGTTTTGTCAAATTCAGGAATATCTCGGAGTGTACTCACTTAATTTTAATGTACTCTTTTTCCCATAAGATTATGAGCATTTTTTCATTTGGGTTTTTTCTAGTTAAAAGGTTTTGACAAGGTATCCATCTTGGGCTGGTCATACCTTCATGTGTGCATTCTACTTGCATCTTGAAAACGTGTAATTTTGACTTATGCAACTTCTTACTTTTCTCCTTAGACTATAAGTTTTTGTCTCATACTAGTTTTAACCATAACGAGATTTTATGAGTTTTACTACCTATGTATTTTTCTATTTGATTAGAGACTCACATTCACTCATTGTGCCGATGACTTCATCAACTGAACTTATTTCATCGTGAAGACCTTGCATTTTGTTTGAGTATTTAAACACTCAAAGGAGTGTGTAGCAATCCTAATTTAATTGAGAATGTGATTATGTAAATCATATTGAGATTGTGTAGTATCTTTTAGAAAATATTCTATTTCAAATGTAATACCTAGAGGTTAAGGAAATTTTCTTTCATATTACTTAAATAGATAAATATTTATTTCAAAATAAACTAGATAACCATTTATAGATTCAGGGTCAGCGGGTGTGTTTTATCAGTCCTCACGCTTTCCCCCCATTTCAAAGGAGAATTAGTACTCTCTCTCTCTCTCACATCAATGGCATTCTCCTCAGTACTCTCTGCATTCACAAGAAGGTTAGCACAACATGCTTAATCAATCAAAGTTTATTAGTTATCTGTTTGAGCCTCTATTTGTGTATCCAGTTTTACTTTTTGGCCAAATCGGATAAATGATTCTTATGACCATAAGGTATTCGGAAGATAGTCCATATGTTAAAAAAACTCATATTAAAATCCCTATATTGTACTACGTTAACAAATTTAGTCCAAAAATGATTTTTCCGTTAACTATCTGTTAAACGTGATTTTTTTTTAGACACGCTCTCTCCTAAAAAAGTAAAGAGAGAGAAAGGAATAGACTCAGAGATGAATATGGGCATGAGCTCAACCCTTTCTCTCTCCCTTGTTCTTTTTATGTAATGACCAAAGCTTTTCTTCTCTTCTTCTCCGAAGAAGATGGCTCTACAAGAAGAACCCAAAGAGCTCCAAAACCCTCCAATGGTGTTCGATCCTTCATTATTTTGCGAAGAAGGATTTGAGGAAGATTTGGGGGACAATGGTAGTGAGAAGGAAAGCGAGAACTGTAATGGGTTTTCAAAAAAGCAATCATCCTTCTTCCCTTTGATTTTCTTGGAAAGTGATATGTTCTGGGAAAATGATGAACTTTCCTCTCTAATCTCCAAAGAGGAACAAACCCATGTGTGTTTCAGTGGAGAAATCTCAGATGGGTCTTTGATGGCAGCTCGGAAAGAGGTGGTTAAGTGGAGTGGTTAAGTGGATTCTGAGTGTAAAGGCACATTATGGCTTCTCCTCTTTGACCGCCATTCTGGCTGTGAACTACTTTGATAGGTTCATTACCAGCCGGCCGTTTCAGAAGGGCAAGCAATGGATGAGTCAGCTCGCCGCCATCGCCTGCATTTCGCTGGCCGCCAAAGTGGAGGAGACCCATGTGCCCCTTTTCTTAGATTTGCAAATACATGTAAATTTTCATTTGTAATTTGAGTGTCTGTGAAATTGCTGGACTGTTGTGTTTATTGGATTTCTCATGATTGTGATTAGGTGGAGGAAACAAAGTATGTTCTCGGTGCTATCGACTCTCGGGTGGTGAATGAATCCAGTGACCCCAAATTCATACTTTGATAACAGAAAAATCATCTTTGGACTAAATTTGCTTACGGAATATACCACAAAGGTTTAAACCCGAGTTTTTTTAGCACATGGGCTATCTTCCGAATACCTTATGACCATAGTGATCATTTATCCGATTTGGTCTTACTTTTTTTTCACTATTTGGTTGAGGAGCCATTGAGAATGATTCAGTTTGGTATTTGAAGGTAAATGCTACTAGATCGTAGTACTAAGTGGCAACAACTACTTTAGTCTTTTTTTTTTTTTTTTTAGTACATCGATATTTTTACACTAGGTGAGGAGGAGTTCAGCTAAACCACACAATGGGCAGCTTAATTTGATATCGAATTTGCCATTTGCCATTTA